GAATTATTATTTTTTTATAAATATCTCTAAACTCAATAAATATTTTTTTTCTGTAATGGAACAGACAACACGAATAGTAAGAAAGTATTAATTACACGAGATGTTGTTTTGATTTGTTTTAAATTATAAAAGATGATTGCTTGTTTTTTAATTGAACAGCGCAAAAGCAACAAGTTAATAAGGTACTAATTACTAAGAGAAAAGTTTAGATAGGTAAATAGCAAGTTAATAAAAAAATACTAATAAATTAGTTTGGTTACTCAATCTAGGCATATCATGAACCTATCAATTTATTTTTAATTAGCAAAAATGTTGTTTGTTTGTTTTTTAATTGAAGAACAGCTACAAGAATTTCGTGTTTCATTGAAATTCCTAAAATGATTTAGAAAGAACCAAAGAAAACCTAATTAAAATAACCTTTTCAAAGTAATGAATTATAGTTTGGCTAATTTTTGATTCAGAGCAAAGTCAATATTGAAATTTCAAATTATTTTTTTAATTTTATAAAGAATTCAGAAAATTATCTGATCATTAGTAGTAAAAAAGTATTATATTAATTATATAAGATGTTGTTTTCATTTGTTTTGAATTATAAAGATGATGTCTGTTTTTTTAATGGAACGGTACAAAAGCAACATTTATTTAATAAAATAATAATAAAGTTTTATAAAATAATAATAAGTTATTAGTTTGGTAACTAAATCTTGGTATATCACGAACACATCAATATATTTTGAATTATCAAAGATGTTGTTTGATTTTAATAGAACGACAGTAACAAGAATTTCATGTTCCGCTGAAAATCCTAAAACTATTTCGACAGAAGCAATGGGGACCTATTTAAAATAATCTTTTCAAGCAAATGAATTGCAGTTTACCTAATTTATAATTCAGAGCAAAGACATAGATATTAAAATTTCTTGTTATTATTTTTATTTAATAAAAAATTCAGAAAACTACTTGAAGTCTAACAAATCTCTATCCCATCGAGAAAAAAAAAGTTACTAAACCGTTTTTAACAATTTTTTTGAGAGGAAAGATTAGAAATTATCAGAAAATATTCTCATATACAGTCAAACCCCGCTATAGTGAACACGGTTTATAGTGAACTCCCAGATATAGTGAACGAAATGTTCGGTCCCGTGCCTTGCTATGCACGTATAATATTATTTTTAGTGAATATAGTGAACCAAAAAAGTGAGGAAGTTGGATATAATGAACTTTTTTCTGTCTTCGACTGATTTTTTTCTTCAT